ATAATCATATAGATATCAAAATTTTAACAAAAAAATTATTAAATATAATAATATAAGTTTGTTTGAATTTAATAAAAATTTAATCATATATAGAATTCATTATGAGGAACAAGTTTACTTAATACATAAAAGTTATTTTTATTAATAAAATAAAAGTTTAATATATAATAACTATTTTTGTTTAATTATAATAATTTTTAAGTGGTCCTTTATTTATTAGGAGGACTATATATGTAACTAGCATAATAGTATCTGTACTTTAGGTATTATAAAAAAATCTTTCTTATAGAAAGACTTATTATATTACCATATATGTTAAATCATATTAAATTAAATATTCTATAGTTGATATTTAAACTTATTGTTTTTCTTTTATATAGCTTTGAATAATAAAGCATTACTAGTATAGATATAAGAGAAAAGAGGTGATCAGAATGATAATCAAATATTATTTTTGTTATAAAAGATAAAAATAAAAGATATGGGCTTATGTATTTTAAATACTTAAGTTGAATTTGTCCCTTTCAAAAGATAAAAGATAAGTATATAAAATCATGATATGAAACTAATAATAATATATATTGAATTTACAAAAGCTATAGACTTGAGAAATATTAATTTGAACCAATTAAATTACAAGTTGCAGGATTTTGTTATGGTTATCAGTACTTATCTAAAATGATGCAAATATTGATTAGTATTATTACTTGCATGAGTCAAAAGTTTTTATATAATATTCAGATTCTGCTATAGTAAAATTTATAAAAACTTATTGATAACCTATAATATTTTGATTGTTAATATAACATTGTTACTACATGGGTCCATATCCAAGTTGAAAAGACAAAAAGAAGCTAATTCAACCATAAATTCAGAATAAATATTATATATTTTATTTGTAATAATAAAAATTATATTTTATAAATTATGATATGGATTATTTTTTAAACTATTATTTTATATTATTCATCTAAAGTATTAAGTTATACACTCTGAAATAGACTATATTGATTGGTTGATTATTGTATATATACTTCTTATTAATTAATGATTACTTGTCACTATACTCATACTTTTTTTTTAATATAAAAATAAATATTATTTTTCTGAGTAAGATTATTAGCTCTAGGAATTTTCTTTTTTCTAATGGCTCGTCAAGTAGTATTGCTTTTGTCTTTTTTTTTTTGCTATTAGTAATATATTAAGGAATTTGTTTTTTTTTGTTTAAATTATTATAATCAGAATGTTTTCTGTTAACAAGTAAAAAAAATCTGTTATGCTAGGCTCATTATAATAAAAAATGCAAATTCAAAAAAAACAAAATTTATCATTTTAATTGAAACTTAACATATCTATACCATTACCAATAAATATTATTTTTGATTCAAACCAAGTATATATTACTTCTGATTATATTTTTTATATATTATGTGTGCTAGGTTGCTTTTGTATAATAAATTGATACACTGTCTTCAAAAAAGAACACAATACCTTATTAGTGATCTTTAAATGCTAAATTTGCTGTATATAAGCTTTAAATCTATTTTTTTAAAAAATTCTTTGAATTGTATTGATATTAATATTTATTTTTTATATTTTTTCAAGGATCTATATATATCCATGGTTGTTTTACATTCTCCTTTTAGAATTTTTTAGATAATAATACATTCCTCACATAAAGTAAGTTTAGACAGATAACTAGGAATAAATTTATTTTATAATTTGTTTATTTCAAGATATATTTTTTTTTGAGTCTAAATATAGTGAAATAATAAATATTGTTACCAATTTTAACAGCAACCTGACATAAACTATAACCTTCTTCTAATAAGGTAATAGCATTTGTCCTCTTCTCCATAGATAACTGTCTTGAGAACATTTGATTTATACAAGGTTTTAGTAAATTTTCCATTTTTATATTTTTACCAAAAAATACCAAAAGTCGTGCAACAGTAAATTTTTATTAATTGCATCATAAAATTTCTTATTATTATTTTAATCACTATTCTACTGTATACTGTACACTGAATAGATTAGACTATACACTGTATATACTGTTAATTTCGCCGTGATTTGATCTGATCTGATCAAAATTTTAATACTTAAAGATCGACGATCAGGTGTTGCGTTCTTTTAGTGTCATAAAGACACATGGGCACATGATTACCGTTAGGCGGCTCAGTACAAGGGTGATTCATTCAGTACGCAAAATTATGTGACCCAACCATAAAAATAGCTTTATTCCATGAGAAAAATATATTTCATGCGCAATGTGGAGTTTAAGAATTGTATCTAATATCTTTTGGTAATATTCCTAGCATCGAACTCAGAGTGCCACCCGAGGACTATCTACGTACGATAAAATAAATTATTTGGAAAATGAATGGAAAAGTGTACCTATTCTCCCATTGGATCGTGTATCGACTTCACAAAAAAAGTTTCGGCATGAAATTTCTACGAGTCCCTAAAAATGATGTGTATAAATTCACTTCTGAAGTGACACAAACTCACATTGCATCATCATTTGCAAATTTGTTGAAGTATACTGTATAAATTCTCTCTTTTTATTTCTTGTGATTTTCCTTGCGCCTTTTATTATTTTTATATCTTGTGGTATACTCGCTCCTCTTTGGTTATGTTATCAAGTATTCCTGCTCATAACCCCTGAATACGAACGTCGTTTTTCTCAAATGCCTTCCCATATCCCGCAATTTATCATTCCCAATTGTGACCATAACCTCTTCGAAGAAATCGCATTAGCAAATCCTCACTCCTTCTATCGAATGAATCTTATCCAAGGTCAACTTGAAATAATGCCTCCACAACCAGTTCACAATGGGTATGCAACTCGTTAAATCACTGCCTGATAGTTTCATCGAATCGAAATTTCTTTACTGTAAATAAAAAAGATGTTATTTAGATCAAAGAGAAGCAAACATCGTTGGAGAAGTTAGAAACTGGTGCCGTGCCAACGTCAACTTGGTTGGACACTATGGTGGTTCACAAGTGTGTCACGCAAACATTTTGGGAACGTTTCTTTTTTAATGTTGTTAATATCACGTCTTTCTATTTATTATAGGGAGCCTATACATTGCGTAGTGGTGATATTCTGGGCCCTGAAGCTTCTGTTGTCCTTGGTGCCAGGTTTCTGAGCGTTATCTATTGTAAAGATAATTCGTATATTTTGCGCCATTTTTTTTATTTTTATTTTATTATTGCAGATGGAACGCTCTATCAACTGATGATAGAAAACGAGCATTTCCACCAGTTGCACCAAATTTTATTGTGGAATTACGTTCAATGAGCAATTCACCTCAGTATGTTCATAGGAAAATGTTGCTATGGATTGGTGCGGGAGTTGAGGGAAGTAAAGTAATAATGATTGCTGATTGTTTGTCTCTGTTATTAATTACTATTATTATGCTTATCTAGGAAGGAATTTCAATTAATCCAATTGCAAATCCGCCCACAGTAAGGGTCTATAGCTATAATTCCAACACTAATGGTGTCATTTGGCAAGAGTTTGTGAATCCTCAAACAGTTACTTCACAAGTTCTTACTGGATTTGTAATGAATATGCAAGATATCATTTGATGGTAGACAACTTTCTGCAATATTTTCATGGTAATTAGTTAATCAGTATTTAATGACCGAATGCTTAGACAACTAAAAAGTGACTAGATGTGATTTCCGTTCTTTAGGCTTTCATCCAATGTGCACAATAGAATGAAATGGAACAAGCTTTTTGTATAAGGCCAATGGACGTAATTTTTTTAAAATTTTATTAATAAACAGACCCTTTGGTCAAGCTTTACTCGTGAATAATCATCACTTTGCGTTAATTGTGTGAATCTGTTAACAATTTCATATGTTCGGGTTTAAAAGGAGCAAAAAATGAAATATGTAGTAGTGATCAAGGTCTCCACGCTGAGGCGGTTATTGTTGCAATTGTTATCTGTTTATGGTTGTTCTGATATTTTGTTATATGTCTTTGGGAGAATTGAAGATTATTTCCTTCAAAAACTGTACCCTTTCAGCTGAAATATTCAGGATAGGATTTTCATTACTAATCGTTGTGGGAGTTAAATATAACGGTTAGACTCTTTAATCTTTATTGTTACTATTTCGCAATTACAATTTTTCTGGCACATATAGATTCATTAAATGAATTGAAACGGGAGATAGGAGATGAAGAAGTATTGTACATTTGATTTGCTAGCTGCAATACACATGGATGTTTTACAAGCCAGTTACATATTTCTAAAATGCTATCCATTTTATTAAATGCACTTGGAATTTGCTCATTTTGAACATTTATTTGCTGATTATCTAATTTTTAAAATAAAAATCATCATTAATTATATTTATTATGTTAAAACCTAATAATAATCAACTTTA